AGCTGCTGATTGCAAAATGCATGAATCTTGATCATATGACCATGGGGATGCTGAGACTGTTGTAAGTGTGAGGACTGGTTGTAAAATTACTTTTTCAGTACTGTTGTAACTTCGAACGGTCACTAAACTTGGCAGTTGTTAAGTGAGGAGTACCTGTATTACTATTACTACTATACTATTACTATTACAATGTTTCCTCCATACTATACTCTATACTATTACTATTAAAATTACAAAGTTTCTTCTATATTATACTCTATAGTATTACTATTAAAATTACAATGTCTATACTATACTATACTATACTATACTATACTATACTATACTATACTATACTATACTATACTATATGTTCTTACTAATATAATTACCGATACTATTACTAATATACATCAATGTTTTCTTCTTACAAAGCCTGTTCTGTTGTTTTTCCTCTCTCTGGGATTTCTTCTATTTTCCACTCTGCCATTCTCAGTTGATTCATCAGGATGCAACACAGGATTCTAAGAAGAAGTCTGATTATCTCTTTTAAGTAAGGAGGCATTCTGCTTTCCAGACAGTAGTACTGATAATACTAACTATAACATTCCTAATAACCTGTGGCTAGAAATTACAAACCAAGAATTAAGAGAACAACTAGGTAAGGTACTACTCCCAACACCCTATCCACATCTTTGGATATCACAAATGGAAACTGATTCATTCTAATCATAATCAGTACATGACTGATTCTGCATCAGTGCTGGCATTTATGCAAGCCTGAATGCATGAGATTTTATCAGCAAAAAACCAAACCCAAACCCAAACCCAACAAAACAAAATACCCAAGAAACACCAAAACTTTCAATGATTAAACTCTAAGAGTTAAAGGTTGAAGGGAGAACAACCTGAACAGCCTAGCAAGCACTGAGCTTGCCAATGCAGTATATTGCTTCTCTGCTGCATGTATTACTACCATGTGTGCTCTCAAATGGGTTTTATGCTGTATTTTCCTGAACTGTGTCATCTTCCACCTGCTCTCTAGCCATCTGTTAGTGGCATTGCAGAAAACTATTGTATTTCGAGGAGTGTAGTCATGTTTTCTGATTTCTCCTTCATATTAAGAAACTTCTAGAAGTTTAGAGTTCATTCTGAGTCATAACAATGTTATAACTTCCTCGTTTTTCATTCTTGCTTGGTAAATAAAGAGAAGGGTGGAATTCTCACACAGTTGTAGGAGGACCTCAAGATTATTTAAGTTGGGACTGGCTTATCTGTATAGTTCCCAGGTTCTTGGTTTATGTTCCAGGGTTCTGTCAGTTTACATGATCTAGCCAAGGTCAGGTCCTGCAACCTCAGTACCATGGAAACAAGGTCATGAGGTTGTGGTACCAGGTTTAATAAGACCCTGATATTATCCTTTGAGCTGGGACCTTTGACACAGACCTAGCGCTGCATGCTGTGTGACTTGGCTGTTTTGGGGTCTCTCCACTGTTGTTCCACTGGGGCTTCCAGTGAGCTGAATGGACATTTGTTGGCATCTTGCTTGGTATGTTATGCTTTTGTGTTTCTGCTTAAATCTGTCTGCTACAGTTAACAATAAAGCTTAAAATCTCCTTACTTACTGGTGTGTTTATTGTCTCTGAATCCTCAAAGAACCAATTGTCTGGCACTTGACCATTGCCTGACACTTGGCAATATATTCTTGGCATTGCAAACAGGATTCGGTAACAATGCCCTGGTGGGGAAGGACATCTGCTGAGCAAGGTGGAAGTGGCCAGAGCCACATTCCTGGTTGGCCCAGCACAAGTGCTTGGGGGCCAGTAGCTCAAATGTTGAACCGGTTGACCCCACTGGTGTGATGGGATTCTGAACTTGCAGAATTTGGAGGCTCAACTTCCAATGCTGTACTTAAATACATGCAAATTGGGAGTGGGAGAGAAAGGGGGGCGGAAGGCAGTGGTGGGGTTTGGATGGATCTTTCTTACTGCACTCTGTAATGTGTGGGAACAGTTAGAAGCCACTCAGAGGAAGGTCAACAGCAAGCCAAAGAGATGATTGCTTTAAAGATCAGCAGGCTCTTCTGAGGGAGGCACTGGAAGGTGCCCAGGGGAGAGGAGATTTAGCAGAGGAGGAAGCTACAATCATGGCTATTCAGTATGCAAAATTCAAACATTGCAAGCAGACAAAAAGAGGGTGCACACTCAACACTTGCAAAGTTAGAGCTCTAATTTCATCCCGGGAGTGGAATCTAGAAACCTGGGATGGAGATGTATGGGATTCTGGAATTAGGCTGGACAGAAGCGGATGATAAAGAAGATGAAAATACTTGGGTGGCTGAGGCACAACCTTTGGTCACCAACAAAACCAAGGGGCTGCCCGGCAACCCATAGGCTGCTCTGGCAACACATATTGTAAGGGATTACACTCAGAGCAGAAGCTAGCTGACATGTCCAAGACTAATAGGCAGGAACTGGGAGAGAGGCTGAGCCAGCGGTTAATAAGACTGTGGGACCAAGGAGCTAGCAGCCTTTACTTAACTGGAGAGGAATTAGTTAAATTGGGGGCATTATCTAAAGACACCTTGATTAATCAATATCTGAGATTGCCTAATGGTGCTGCAGTAGGAGCTTTATTTGATTGGTGTGTGCTAGCTATACAAGCCAGATACCCTGCTTCTATGGATTGGGAAGAACAGATGCCTTCATGGCATACCACTGAAGAGGCAGTAGATCAATTGAGAGGAATGGCTATGCAGGCAGCGATTTACCAGCAGGGGATTTTCAGGATCTGATACTCAACATCTTACAGCTGGGATGAGGGCATGCTTAATGAAAGGGGCTCCAGCCTACATGTGTGGTCTTTTGCTGGCATTATTGGGTCCAGCACAGGGAGCAGTCACAGAGAGAAAATGCCCTCAAGCCCCATACTTGGATAGCCAAGGAGGGAGAAAAATTTGGGAAAAAGCAGTTCAATAATAAAGTGACATGGAAACAAACGTTTATAGGGCTGCTTGAAATAGGGGTGCCAAAAACAGACAAAGATGACATTCCAACCTCAGAGATGTAAAAATGTGGACACAGAAAGTGCCACTAATAAGAAAGGAAATTTACAGGTGAGGGGAGCTACCTCAACAGCCCCACCTGAAGAACATTATATCCCTCCTTACCTAGCAAAGGAATCGGGGGATGGGAGATGCCCCAGCCTCTGGATTAGGGGTGTGGTAAGGCTCCAGTGGTGAGGTTAATAGAGACAGCTATCCCTGGAGACCAATGCTCTCATTTTATTTATTTATTGTCTCTGGATCCTCAAAGAACCAATTGTCTGGCACTTGGCCATTGCCTGACACTTGGCAATACACCATCTAACTTACTTTTTCAGCTCCCAGAGTTTGTACATCAAGGAATCATTTGTGAATGATTATTCACATGACAGAAATTAGAAGTGATTGTGTGAACTGCCCTAGCGATTTCCGTACTCCAGGGCATCAACAGATTACTAGTGAGGTTAACCACAAACCTATCCAAGTCCTCTTGAAATCCAATTTGATCTACAGACATTTTAGGAAAACTGTTCTAATAAATCCACTGCTCTTACAGAAATGAGATGTAGCCACTAATCCAACCATAATCAGAATCAGGCCCATTCATGACAATCACAAGGACTGAAGCATCCCCATGCATCAGACAGGATGAAATGTTAAACTTGTGTGACTTGTATTGTGTCTTGCTCAGGATAAGCCTAAAGTTGTCATTGCTGCTATGATCTCCTGACCTGCTCCAGACAAACCAACTCAAAGTGACCTAGCACTATAAAGCTGAAGGACATGATAATGACATCTAAGTATATAACCTAATTTGAGTAAAGTAAATAGTAAAATAGAGCCAAAATAGGTCTGTCAAATTTAGAAAGGTAATATTTAGAGCTTGGGGTTAAGGAAAGTTTGGGGATAGAACTGACAGAACCAAACCATCAGCAGGAATTGCTCAAAGCAGAGCCCACAGTAAGCATCTAAAGAGCATAACATGAAATAAAAAGTACATCCTCACAAGGTTCCTGACCCTAAGCACAACATTCAAGCCACCACACATCATCCTAAAAGAATCCAGACTGGCTGCTCTCACAAACACATTGAAAGAAAAAATGAATGCATAATAGCAATGCCCATTAAAAGCACTTTATTAAAGCACTATACATTTAAAATAGATTTTAATGAATATCTTTATTAGGCTCCTATGAGAAATGTGCAAAACGGTGCTTACAGATTTATTATCATGTAATACTGCAAACTCGGTATTTCAAAATCTTCTTTCCCAAGACAGAATCCTTTCAGGGATGTGCTCAATGTGACCAGATTTCTGAAGTTATTGTATGACACTGACAGTATATATTTAGTTGATGAATGTATCTGATGACTGTACACATCTGCATTTTTTAAAAAAATATGCCTTAGGTGGATAAACTGGTCTGAAGTTCCTTTACCTCAAATTATCCAAAGCCATCTGCTTCTCAAAAATAATTCTCTGCAATGGCAAAAGATTGAACAGATGGAATGGACATTAAAATAATACACTTTTGTGGACTTGTTCTGGTACAAACGTGGGGAAAAAAATAAGTTAAGGGTCTCAGGACTCTGTCTGCCCATCAGCAGCATAACCCTCCCCAAACAGCATGGAATAGGACTACATTTGGTGTGGCAAGAGAAGCCAACAAAAGAAGGATCAAACTTGAGGATGGGCAGGATCAGTGAAAAACTGTCCCTTCCACCACCCCCCGAAAAACCCCACAGCGCGACAGCTCCGAATTCTCCAGAACCCTCCGTTCTAAGCCCCCTCCCGCCTCTTTCCTGGTCACCTGACCAGGCACAACGGCCCAAAGTGTCAATAGAGGGAAAAGCAAAGACGCACACAAATCGACCCGCCCCGGGTACTTCACACACAAGAAAATACAGAAGACTCCTGTGGCTAGAGGGGCTGCAACCAATTCCAGAAGCCACGCTCTGCAGGCTTTCCCTACCTTATTCCCCTGCAGTATCTTTAATAGTCTATCCCCTATAGAGTTCTGAGGCTACCGTACAAGTAAGCTGATTCTAATTTCCTGTTAAAATCACCGCAAGACACTTTAATCTTTGAACTCCTCAGGGGCATTATAGTGCCTCTGGTCTGCAATGGTCAAAATCGCAAGGATTTCGTGCACGAGCCCACTTCGCGCATACCGTAACCCGGGCTCGACAGTCCCCGCCACGTGACCTCGAGCGGAGTGACTCGGCGGTTACATCATCGCTGGCGCGGGCGGGCGCGTGACTGTGAGGGGTCCGGCCCATAGCTGCGACGCCACTCAAGGACCTCGCTCCCTTTTCTTTCCGCGCTGCCAGTTGCCCGCCTGGTCAGGTGATCGCGTGTCACCTCTCGCGGATTTGCTCTGGGAGCGGGGCCGCGGTCTGGTCTCTGGCCCTGGTCCTGGTCTTCCCTCGCGCGGCAGTTCGTTCGACCGGCTAGAATGCGGCTTTGGTCTTTGGTCTGGCTGCTGGGCTGCAGAGCGGCTGCTTGGCGGAGCGGCAATTACTGGCTGGACGATGCCGTCGGACTGGGGCCGCAATTTGATGGCATCGGAGCCATTAGCGGCGGCGGGGTGGGTGAACTGAGCGGCCGCGCGGGCTGGGAGCGGGTCAGACCGCCTGTGCTCGACTGGGGGCGGCGCTTTTGCACGGAGCTGCGGAGGCTTTTCAGCGGGACGGAGACCCGACAGTGCCCAGAGAGAACCTGCGAATGGTCCGGAGTCCAGGCCGCTTCCTTGTCGGAACACCGCTGATCACCCTAGTCCTGCGTCCTCTGTCGGCCCCGGGGGTGAAGTAACAACCAGGCTCAGATCCCCTAACGCCAAGCGGAGAACCCGTTTGTCAATCAGAGGCATTTCCTGTAAAAAGGATCTGAGCTGTCAGCTTGCAAGCTGAGAGCTCAGATCCGTTTGACAGGAAATGTCTCTGAGGGGATCTGAGCCTGGTTACTTCATTTGGTCCGTGTATTATATGTGTATATTAATTGAATTTATTGTTCATGTATTAGATGCATATAATACATACATGATAATAAATAGCTTCAGGGGCTAGTTGCTGTAACCAGTATCACATTTTTGTATTTTATTTTTCCAGTGAGGGTGCTTGCATCATGAACAGGGTTTCCCCATAGTGACAGAACTTATAATATCTAACAGACAGATTTTATTGTGCCAGAAGTGTCCCAGGTTGAGTAGCCATTTCATCAGGTAGGGGCTAAAGAAACAGACCAACTTGGCAAGTGTGTTGCATGATGTACTTAGGATATATTCCTATATATTCCTATATTCCTTCCCTATATAGGAAATTTGTTACTGCCTTCTTTAGGGATTTTTTTTTCTTCTGAATTCCTTGTCTAATTTACAGATCTGGGATTTTCTGTTGACCTCCAATTCAAGTTTGATCCTACTTAATGTTTTGAGATCATCAGCCAAGGTTGGCTAGGTGCAGCTCTCTGCTAAATTGAGGATTTGCAGAGGAAACGAGGAATTAAAATAAGGCTGGGAGAAGTGTTATGAAAATAACAGGGATAATGAAAGAACCGTTGAAAAATGGTGTTGAAAGATAAATGGGGTTAATATAATTATTGGACCATAAAGATACTTCTGAACAGTAGTATCAATGTGTATAAGTATTAATTCCAAATATTTTTCTTCCTATTTTTTTGCTAGGCTACCTCACGGCTTTTGGTGGATTACCCAGAACCTTATCGGTCTCAGATTTTAGATTATCTTTTTATGGTAATTATTGCTTTACTGTTATTGTGGTTTTTTTTCCCCTGCCTCTGCAAAAACCTAGAAGGATAAATTATTGTCACATCTAGATTGACTTTAAGGTAGAACTTTAATTTTTTCCTTAAAAGTATTAACAATAAATTTATGTGATACAAATGAGAGTGGCAGAAACATGAAAAGAAGTGTTCAGGTCCCTCCCTGTGCATTCAGTATTTTGCCATGGTATTCACTTCTCTTGTTGACTGATATATGAGATGTTGCAGCTGCCTTTCTGCTGTGTACTCACAATGTTACTGTGGCCTTTTGGATTAGCGCAAAGCTGTGTGTTGTAACTATGGCACCCTTAACCACTTAGACTACTAGAGCCTTCAGAGACCCAAGAATGAATGAGAATGGTGAGAATTTGTTAAGTATCTGCTTAGAAAAAGATCTGTTTGGAATACTTAGCTTAAGTATACAGATGTACAGGTGTAAAAGGACTGAATATAAATCTAAAAGCATGACTGTGATGAAAGTTTGAGAGAATTAGTGAAGGACCCAAGACTCATGAGAGGTTCTGAATATGGGACAGATCACTTTTTGCTATATCAAGAAGGGATCATGAGAAAAAGTAGACACTGAAGGAAATGAAGGTAAAAGAAATTAGAGTGAAAATTGAATGACTGCAAGAAGAGAAAATACAAATCCCATATCAAAAAGGTATTAGAAGTTAAATTAATCTCCCAATAAAAAACAAATGGAAACTGGACATAAAGAAAGAGGATGTGGAAGCTGTTTGGAACAAAGTGAAATGAATTACTGATGGAAAGTATGAAGATGCTTGGTAGAATGGTAAAATGAAAGAGGATGTGGATTTTCCTTCCCCTTCTCTTTCCCTTTAATTTCTTTCACTTACAAATTTACTCCTTTTCTGTGCTTCACATAATGCTACTTATCTTGAATGAAAATGGTATGTTGGGTATATAATCTGGCTGAGCAATGAGAATTATTTTTGAAGGCACTGAGAGGAAAAATATTAATGACTGGAGAAGGCAGAACTGTTTTCCTTCCAAGAAGTTTTATAAAATATTTTCAGAATCCCTTTCATAATTCTGGTGTTGCTTGGCAACTAGCTCCCAAATGATATAAAACTGGTTGTCTGAGGGATACATTTGGTGTATGGCCAGTAGTGTCTATTACACCAAAATGATCATGTGAGTAACAATCTCAAAAGTGATGCAAATTTATATTTTTGACATTAAATGATGCAAGTATGTAATTCACATCAGTTTCTCCACTTGTCCCCCTGGTGAATGCTTATGTGTATTAGCTGACACAGTCTCAGAAACCATCTTAATCTTACAGCTTTTTTCCTTGAAGTTCCTTTAAGGCTAGTGTTTTTTTTTTCTCCAGTATTGTTGGATGATATCCAGGTAGTCCTTGCTTATTGACCACCCATTCAGCGACTGTTTGAAGTTGCAACCGTGCTGAATGAGTGATACTTATGACCGGTTCTCGAAGATCTGGCCGTCGTACCACCCCTGTGATCATGTGATTGTGATCTGGGCACTTGGCAACTGGCTCACACTTACGACAGTTGCAGCGCCCCCCGGTCATGTGATCACCATTTGCGACCTTCCCTGCTGGCTTTCCGCAAGCAGTCAATGGGGAAGCCAGCAGGGAAGATCACAAGTTGCTCAGGGAAGTTTCCCCCACCTGACAGCAGCCACCCCCAGGCCCAAAATCGCTCATGTGTGCTGCTGCAGCCACCCATGCACCCTCCCTGACCCAGCTTGCTTGCAAGCTGCCTGGGACTTGCAGCTTCCAGCCGGCTTTCCCACTGACTTTGATTGTTGGAAGCCAGCAGGAAATTGCGAGGATCATAAATTGCGATTGCATAAATCGCTTTATGACCCGTGATTCTTGCTTAATGACAGCAATGGGGACTGCTAGGATTGCTGTTGCTAAGTGATGTGGTCATGTGATGTCACGCTTTATGACCGCATCACTTAGTGATGGAAATTCTGGTCCCAGTTACTGTTGTTAAGGAGGACTACATGTAGAAAATTCAAACTTAGTGTGTTGAGCATTCTGCAATAGTCCAGGAAGGAAATGTGAATAGAAGCAGAGGTTGGATTTGTGTTGTACTAAGCCATAGTGTGTTGGCATACCATATCTGGGCTACAAAAATTCAGACAATTATGTAGAGGGCAGCAAAATTATGAATGCTAACTCTTTGCTGCCATGTAGTAGCCTTCTGAAGTTTTCCAGCTCAAATATGGATGACTAATAGTGTACTGAAAGCATGGTTTAGGTCTTAGCATTTCATGTGAATTCATCCACCATTTATTTTATTTTATATTTCAAATTTAGATACTGCCCATCTCACAAAAAAGTGACTCTGGGTGGTTCACAA